TGCTTGTGCTGCAAGCCCATGCTGAGCATATCCTGCGATCATGGAATTCCACGACACGACATCTCTGTTCAACATGTTATTGAATATGTAAAACGCTTCCTCAAGGCTCCCACATTTAGAATACATTGAAATGAGGGCATTAGCAATATGGAGATACGAATCAAAACCCATTTGAATTGTTTGACAGTGAGCACTTCTCCCTTGCCCGAGAGCCCCGCTGCCTGTGCAAGCACTCAAAATGCTTGTAAGCGTGAAATCGTTAGGATTTGCTGTCGACTTTCTCATCATAGAATAAAGCCCCAAGCACATATCAACCTGCCATTCCTGTGCAAACCCAGAAATCAAAGCAGTCCATGAAAATACATTTCTAAGAGGCATTTCCTCAAACACTTTATACGCACTCTCCAACTCGCTGCATTTACCGTACATATTAATCAAAGACGTTCCCACATAAACATTAGCTACAAACCCAGTTCTTATTATCAAGCAATGATACCCAACACCTCCACGAAGATTCCGAGAAGACCCACATGAACTTACAGCATTTGACAAAACACTAACACCCGATCCACATCCATATCTACGAAGATTATCCTTTGCGGAATCCTGACTGTCTTTATTCACAGTAAAGAATTCCAAAATTTCCTCAAAAACGCTCGAAACACCTTCCTTTGAACTGAAAAGTCCAAAATCATCTCCAGAATGCAGCGAACTCGACTGTTTTGACTCTGTTTGCAAAAAGTCCTGAATGAGCCGTAGATGATTTTTCCTATTGGTATGAACATTCGGTTTAGCTGATATAATGTCTAGGACTCTCAGGGCCCCGTCTAGTTTCTTGTTTTGTGTTTTCTGCTTCAAATTTTGAACAGAAAAAGGCCTACATTGTGATAGAATCAGGAGACACTGTATAACGCGAGAAACTTTCTTGTTGATACATGTTTGAAGCAGGGCAAGATTCATTCCTGATAAATCTCCATGATCATACGAGAAGCGTTTGATTCATTACCCAAGAGAATAGCATCCAGAAGTTAGTAGAGTGCATTAAGCAAGAGCAGAAGAGGTCATTTCGCTAATTAACACTATGCATGCGTTTGCTAGAAATCATGTAAAGTAATTTTCTCTCCCATGATTAAGTGGAATGTGATTCAAATTTGTACATAAACGATTCAAATTTGTAGCACCCGGAAAGGAGGAAAAAAAAAAAAAAAAAAAAAAAAAAAAAAAAAAAGGGGGGGCCACGTCAGCAGGCCCGGTCAGCAGTCCCGGCCAACCGGGGCCTGCCACGTGGCAAGATCGCGTCACTCCAAAAGGAGCCACGTTGGCGATCCGCGTGGGTGCGATCCGACGGCCCAGATCAATCGCGCGATCGGACGGCCCAGATTCAAACGCACGGACGGCCCAGATTCAATCAAAAACGAACGGCCCAGATTAAAATGAAATGAACGGCTGTGATCAAAAGGCAAGGGGTTATAAATAGAACCCCCACACCAGACCACAAACCCTAGCCGCCAGCCGCTCGCCGGAGAAGACGAACCAGAGGCCGACCGCCGCCACCCGCCGCCACTCGCCGCCGCACCGGGGAACGCACCGGGGAAATTTCCGACCGCCGATCGAGGTAAATTTCATACCCCCGACTCGTTTTTCCCCACTGATTCCTCCTATGGCCAAATCGAAGCCGAAATCCCGGCCAAACTGCCGGAATACGCGACCGAAGCCCAGCGGCGCAGCCGCGCCCCCTCTCGGTTTTTGCCTCCGACGAGGCCCTTCCCGGCCTCCGTTCGATGTAATTTTTATATCACCGTGATCACCATTCTTTTCTCTACAGGTTGACCGAAGCCAAATCACCAAAACACGAACCTCGCCGGAGAGTCGCCGTACCCGAGAGCGCCGCCGCCGGTAAGCTCCGCTTTTCCGTGATTTTTGGCCCCCCGAGGGCCCTAGGGTTGTTTTCTGACAAGGACCAATGCGAGCGTGGCCGAATTCGGCCGAAAACGGCCGAAAACAGCCAACCCGAGGCGACTCGCCGCCGCCAGCGGCGGCGCCGTCGCCGGAGCACGGCGGAGCCGCCGTGCCGGAGTTGCGATTTGGGCCGAAGGAGGCCCTGGGCCTAATTTGGATTTTTTTTGGAACACGTGCAGGTACTGTTAGTGTGTTTCAGTTCCCCGGGAAAAATTCAGGAAAAATTATGGACGGCCTGCAGGCGCACTGTGAATCGTATTCGGATCCCGAAAACAAGTAAGGACCCCTCACCCTATTTCCTATCACGGTATTAAAGTTTAAAATGATAAAACGGTATTCTTGAATTAACGAATGTGTGAAATTGCTTAAGGTGGCTAATGGAGCCCGAGTCTAGTGTGATTGGTGATTTACTGTTATTTGGCCTGTTTACAGCTTTAAATGCAAAATGAGGTTTGATGTGTTCATTTTACAGATTTGTGTGCATATACTACGTTTTTATTAATCATGGGTTGAATGACTGAAAAACTGATACTGTATGTGTCTGTTGGCATGAACTACTGTTTGCTTGTTTGTATGTGAATTGATGATGCTGACTGAGGAAAAGGAAAATGAAAGATTGTGTAGACTGATAATTGTATTATGGGGGTCAGCCTGACTAGATATCCTGGGAGATGGTGGACGGACCGGGTCCGTAGGGAACCCTACCGGGATTGTGGTCTCACATGCCGGACGGGGTATGGGGATCTTATGGTTTTGGCGCCCATACCGGACGGGGTATGGGGACGGCCCGTTTCACCCTCATACCGGACGGGGTATTGAGGTTTATGGTTTTGGCGCCCATACCGGACGGGGTATGGGGACGGCCCGTTTCACCCTCATACCGGACGGGGTATTGAGGTTTATGGTTTTGGCGCCCATACCGGACGGGGTATGGGGACGGGCCCTGGAAACTGATTATGAATGTTAAAGATTAACGGGTAGCGGAACCCCTATGGACCCCCACGGATACTAGTAGGCTGGTAAATGAGAAAATGATATGTTGTATAATGATTGAATTACAAAAGGCGTGATAAGTGCTATGTTTTACAGCTTATATTATTCCATGATTGTGATGATGTTATTATTTTTCTTATATTGTTTTCATAAATTCCACCGAGGTAAGTGGATGGTAAAGGTTTTCATGTTAATAAACGAGTTTATTGTAAATTATGCTCCATTGGTCTTTTTGTGGTTTTCTACCCACCTTTATCTCCGTGACGGTGAGATATCGTGATGTTCTTACTGGGCTAGTGTAGCTCACTCCTTAATTAACCATTTCAGATCAGGAAGACATGGTTCCCGAGCCCGTTCCGCAGGAGGACGACGAAGGGGATGCCTAGAGACTCTGTAGTCATACGCATAGTTTATTTTCGAGTTTTCTTTCTTAGTTAGTTTAACCTTTTATATTTTAAGTACGTTTTTTTTTTGGTTTTTTTCGTGTAAGGGATGTTAACTGAAATTTTGATCTCGCTTCCGCATTCGATATATTTAAATACTCATTTCTTTTTTTAATATTTTCCGGGGCCGTTACAAAATTAAGAATGATTAATGGTGTATTTGGTTGATTTTTTTTTATAGATAATTAATGTTCAGTAAATTTTAGTAATTTTATAGGATGAT